ATATTAATATGTATATTTATCCAGACTATCAGTGTTCAAACAGGGATCTTCTCATGCTTTGATGCTAAAGGTTCTGTTTCTTTGTGAGGAAAGAATTTATTTCTGTACCTGTACAAGCTTCTGATCATTGTGTCAGGTGGTAATTTTGTGTCCTCCTACTCTTCTTGGAGGAGGTTTCATTTCCAGCTCCTTGAAATGTTTTTGGGGTTTGAAGTGAGGAGGTGGGGGTTGTTCCTGTGATCTTGTTTGTTTGTTTTCCCCTGGAAATTACAACAGAGACAATTTATCTATAAATTGAAGTTTGTGCAAGCAGGTTTATAAGAATAATCACAGTATTAAGGGTGTGAAATGGCACCTGTTGTATCCTGATGGCAATGTGCAAACCACGAGGCTTTTCTTCACCATTATCCTTCTCATGCACGAGTGCCTGGAGTTTGGAATATTTCCTGGTGATGGTTGATAAGCTATAAAATAGTGTTTGGGCTATGAGCAGGATTAACCTTGAGATAAGGTGCCAAATGGGTAAAGGATGCAGAGTTAATGTTTCATCTTGTGAGGCAATTGTATTTTAAGAGCTCCTAAGCTGTTACTCTCCACAGCCAGAGACTCCCAGCCATGCAAGGTGGATACCACAAAGGAATTTTAATGCTAATTGCACCTTCCCAGCTCCAAGTGCAGGGGGAGGTTCCCCTGCTGCTCTGGTTTCAGGTTGGCTGCTCCTCCTGAAGATCAGATACACCTGGAATAATTCTTTTGGGTTTTGGGTGCTTGATGGCAGAGCAAACTCTTAATTTTGTGCCTGTTAACTCCAGAGTGTTGAAATTCCTTGGAGTTGACCAGAATCCCCAAACTGATTTATTTCTCAGTCCCCATAAGCCCAGGGGTGTTTTCAGCAGCAGAGCTGGCTGTCAGCAAGGTCCATGTCCAGATCCATGAATTTAGCCTCCACTAAAAATGTTTGGGAAGCTCTTGCCTTGCAGAAAATGAAGCAGCAGAGGATACAACACGGGTTTTTTTTTTTTTAGCATTTGGACACCATGGAATTAACATGAGAGGGCACCTTGCCTGTTCAATGTGCTCGTGAGTTTGAGCTGACTTTCCCCTCATGGGCAAGCTTTGATAGCATCCCCTTTCCAGATGCACTTGTACATATTTAATG